TTGATGATTTTATTTTTGGATTATAAAGACAATTTAAATTTATTGATTGATAATAAATAATAAATAAACATCAACCACTGTTACTAAGATACGTGATAAGAAGATCTACTTGCGGTGTATTTTATGTGCGAATCAATTTGTAATAAGAATGATGAAAAATTATATAGTAAGTATATAATGGTTTTTTATGAAATATTATACCAAAGGTTTTTAAAAAATCGATAAACTAAATAACTTACATGTCAAAAAATTGTGACATTGTTCATTTGGGTATTGGTTTTTTGTGTTGTAATAATAGTTTGTACGAGGTTATTGGGGTCAAACGTAAATTGGCAAACCTTGAAAAAAGAAGCACCAAATTTAGAGATATTATGTATTTTATGTGTGTTTAAAAGAAATATTTTTAATTTTATGCAAAATTTTATCATAAAATTAGAAATTAAACAAAACCAACTTAAATCAAGGTACAAACAATACACTTTTAACATATAACATTTAACAACAATCAATTAACAACAATATATCCACGACTAAACCACACGAACATTAAAAATTAAAAACAACAAACTATTGTCAAAACATACACTACTAAACCAACACGGAAAAATCATCAATATTCATAAACATGCATATATGTTAAACATTTTCTAATTGCACAGTAATAAAAATTAAATAGAAAATATTTGATAACTACCTAGTTATAAAATTGAACAAAAAAAATAATCAACATGAAATAATGAGATGTTTTGCCATTAACAAAATTTGTAATAGATATTCTTTTAACTAATCATTTATGACAATCAATAATATGTTTTGTTCACTTTCAATAAAAATTAAAACTTTGAAAACTATAAGTTTTTATGTAATTCTGAGTAAAGTGATTATTAGGTATGAATAATAGTTCAAAGGTTTTACTTATGTATTGGATATTTGTATTTTTTGTTTGTGTGAAAGTGGTGATGACAATTATATTAATTTTGAAATTTTTTTTGTTCAATTGGTAATACTTGTTATTTTATATTAGTCACTTTTTTTTTTATTGGTGATTAGATTGCACTTTGTCTTTTTTTTTTTTTTTGAAACTACAGGTTTTTATATAATAGTGATTTATTTTTGGTATAAATAATAACTTTATGATTTTATTTATGGATTGTATATTTATACTTTTTATTTGTGTGGAAGTGGTGATAGCGATTAGATTGGTTTTGAATCTAACTACTTTATTTTATATCTATATATATATATATATATAAAGAGAGAGAGAGGAGATGAGATAGTGTGTTTAAAATGTTTAAGAGATAAGAGAGAGTGAGTTATATAGGAGATAGGAGTATTAGAGTTAAATCCAATTATAATCGTCGGATCATAATTTTTGAGATAATTTAAACCATCTTTTATGTTGAAATTACACTACCAGTTGGATGAGTTTATATTTTGTCTCAGAATGATCTGAACCTCTCTTTATCTTTTGGATTCAAACTTCTTTCTATTTTCTTATATAAATGTTTGTATATAAGTGAAGATTAAGAATTTTTAATTAACAGTTTGATTTTTGGTTAATGGTTTATATACAAATGGGGTGAACTTAGTTCCTTGGAGGATATAGATGGGATAGATTTAGTAGTTTGAAATTAAAAAATTAAATGGGGTGAAAAAAAAAATATTTAAGGGGTGAAAATAGACTCACCCAACTTTTATTATAAAGGACTAGCTTTGGACTCTATGGGTGTGTTTGTTAAATGTATTCAGCACTTAAAATGAATGTATTCAACATTTATTAATTAAGTCAATTTGATAACCAAAATTTAAGCTCTCTTAATATGTTAAGTTCTCCTTAAAAATAGGCTACACTATTAAGTAGGAGATATCTTACTTAAATCTAAAAGTTGAAAGTGCTCGGCAAAAATATCTTTAATAATATTTATAATATGATAATTATACCCTGAAATATTTTATAATTCTATTAAAACTCTAATTAGTCTTCTCTCCAAAACCCCTAATTTATATATTCTCATTGTCAATCTCTGTTTTTTTTTCCCTTGTGTTCTATAACAAAAATATACATACATAATTATAATTACACACACAAACGCACACATTGCACACACATAAACGCACACACATGGATTGCACACACACACACACACATATTGTTAATGAAATCTAATTTATTGTATTTTTTTCAATATTATTTGATTATTTATTAGTTATTATTCTTTTTTTTATCAGATGTTATTGTTTACTTGTTATGTTATTCAATTTGTAATGTTCACTTATTGTGTTATTCAGATATTATTTATTTATTTATTTTGATCAAATATTTGTTAAATGTAGACTACAATATAATAATAGTGATTATGATTTATGTTATTATATATTTTATAAATATTTTCAAATTAAAGAGTGGGATAGTAAAACTGAAAATTAATTTATTTTCAGACATCAGCTCTGTGTAGTTATCAAACAGTTTAGTTCAATTCAGTACTTAAATTTCAGTGAATGCCAAACAATCCATAAATTTACCCTTCAGATTTCAGACTTTAATTTTCAATTTTATCAAACATCACCTAACTTTTGCACTTAATCACGCCCTCACTGAAACAACTGTGCCACAATGAGCTTGACTTTGCAAACAGGAATAAAATACTACACTAAGAATTAAGAGAGTATTTTGCGGAGAAAATTAAGGATCGTAGAGAGTTTAGGAGTTTTTGATGAATCGAAATGAAATATGATCATACTTATGGGTTTACTCACAAGCTTAACTTGTAAGTCAGTAAGTCCTTTAAATGATAAAATATTTGTAAGTAAGTACATATTTCAGTTTTATTTTTTTTATATTACATAATTATCCCTACCTTGATTCATGTATATTTGATTGACAGTTTCCTTTTTTTTTTTAAATATGAAAATATTTGAAAGTGATATATTCAACCATTTGAATTCTCAAAAACTGATCTCAATACATTTGGTATTATCCTTTTGAACCGAGAGTTTATCTTCTTCACCATTACGATTTTTTTGGAGTAAATTTTTGGAGTTTTTTGTATCCAGCAACTAGGTTTTTTTGTTGGTTTTGTGTTTCGGTTATCCTAAGATTTCGTCTTCTTCACCATTTCAGAGTTTTTCGAAAAAAAAAAAGTTTAGAGGTTGTCAATGTAACTTGTATTTTGGTGTTTTGTATTCCTGACATTTTTTGGAATCAGATTTTTTTTTCAAATTTCTTTTTTTTTCCACAATGTAATAATATATTAAACAATGTGATAAATTATTCAACAATTGTGACAAGTCTTTGAAAAACAATGTGACAGTATACTCTAAAATAATGTGAAAAGTTATTTAAAAAGTGTGATGATTCCCCGAAAAAAAATGTGACAATATACTCAAAAATAATGTGACAACATATTAAACAATGTAAAAAATTATTCAAAAATTGTGACTAGTTACTGAAAAACTATGTGACAATATACTCAAAAATAATGTAACAACATATTAAACAATGTAACAAATTACTCAAAAAGTGAGACTATAACCAACCTGTATTTCCGGTGGTGGAAGCTTCAAAGTGTGACTATAACTTGGACATTATGTTCCTTGATCTTCTCTACCACGATGAAGTAATTTTTCGACACTGAATTACATGAATGCGCAATAGATGAAGTGTCGAAAATGATTGGATTTGTTTTTCAAATTTAAAAACAACGAAATCAACAAGATTTCTCATCTGTTGATGAATCTGACGTCCTCGTTTTCAGGGGGAATGGTGACAGTCAACATTTAATCAGGACTGTGATGTTTTTGTTTCCTTAACCAACTTTGAAGGATTTATAATTGTGCTCAAGAGTGATACCACCATTTTGCCTCAAAGTGAATTTATATTCAAAATATTTTTTTTAATTGAACTTTTTCTTAAATAAGTCCTACAGAGAGCACCGGCTTCCGAAGTACCCTTTTTCTTTTTCATCTTTCTGGCCTGAGCCAATTGCTCAATTTTGTGAACATGGATCGGCCTGGTTCAGACTTAGTACCATGAGATCGCAATGGGACTATTAAGGCCATTATGTAGTTTGCGCTGTCCTTCGCTCTCAAAGAGTGGCAGCAGGTTAAGAGATGGGCCGGGCCAACCCTAGGCCTTCTTAGCCACCAAGCATTTGGGCCGGGCTGGTTGAAGCAAAATATTAGTATCCTTGAGATAATAATACAATTGAGACCAATTTATTGATATAATTCACTATAATCCTTAGATTGATTATAGATCTTATCAAATATTAGAACTTAGTTTTAATTTAATAATCAATAAATTATGTCCGATTTTGATGTCCAATACCATTATTCCTCTTTTGCTTTTCGTGAAAAAAAGTCACCATTAGTTAGTAATTACTTGTCAACCTCCTTTCAGTGCCACGTGTCCCGTTCTAGAAAGAACCATGAAACCATGACAGGCCATGCTGTCCCAATCCCATAGAACAAACAAGCCAGTTCACGGGCTCAACATAGAAACCCCTGTCCTCCCTCCCTCACGAGACTTAAAAAATCATACTTTATGCCATGGCAAAATTCCATTTCTCCAAACACCATCTCACATTTGCCCGCACCACCCAACTAATCAAAAGAAAATTAGAACAAATTACGATTTACTAAAGACTAAGTGACGATCCAATAAGATTAAAGCTACAATTGCTCTAAAAATTAGAAACCCATTTTAAATTTTTTAAACCGAGCTTAGCTTGATTCATTGAACACTAATTTAGTTTGTTTGAATCGTAAATTAATGTGATCTGAGTTATAATCTCCAATATAGTAATAAACAGTTGGTCAGTTGTTGGTGTCCAAATACATGAAGACTACTGATACTATAGGATATAAAGAGGATGTGATTCATAATTGAATCATGTAAAGCCCCCACACTCTAACCTCAAATTTTTGTTCATCTTTTCCAAGCCATGGAAATCACATCCTGACATCCATATATAAGCCACCACAGGCCACATTAATCAGTGCCACACACCACCCTGCAGACTTGACTTTCTCTCTCATTGCTCACACCAATTCCCAAGTCCCACCCTCCGAAACATGAAGCATCTATTGCTCCTTTTCTCCATTCTCTTCACAAGCCTCATGTTCAACCACCTCTTGGTGTCCTCACAATCATTTTCTGTAACTGAACCCCCCCACAATAACCCAGACAATGAGTCCATATACATACTTTCCAAGCAACTATGCTGGAACTGCATTGGAGAGTCCTTTCAATTCCTCTTTGCCCACAATCTGGTCCGAGCAGCCAAATTTGAGCTCCCACTGACATGGGACTTTCAGCTCGAGAGGTACGCAAGGTGGTGGGCCGGGCAACGACAAGCAGATTGCCGGTTAATGCATTCGTTCCCAGAAGATGATTTCAAGCTAGGGGAGAATATTTACTGGGGAAGCGGCTCCTCGTGGACGCCAGCTGACGCAGTTGGTGCTTGGGCCGGGGAGGAGAAGTATTATAGTTATCAGAAAAACAGTTGCGCCGTTGGGCAGCAGTGTGGGCATTATACACAGATTGTGTGGAGGACTACTAGGAGGATTGGGTGTGCTAGGATGGTTTGTCGCAGTGGGGATGTGTTTATGACTTGTAACTATGATCCACCAGGGAATTATATTGGTGAGAGACCATATTGATGGTGGGGTTTGGTGGTAATTTTGGTCCAAGGGTCAAACAGTAGTATGCAATAATTTTGTGCAATGCTGTATTTGTGGGGAATTAGAAGCTAGGTATGTGTCATAGTGTTTAATTTAAGATGGTTGATATTGTATATGGATGTCAATGTTAAAAATGGTCAAACTGAAACAGCTGCCATGGTTTGACCAATTACATGGCAATAGCCTTCCTTCGAAGCTTTGTTTCTTTTTGAAAATAAACAATGGGATAATCCTATTAATTCAAAGAGGACACATCGTTCTCGAAGAGAGTTAACAAGAAAGTAGGACATTCCTCCCTCCATATATTAAAATTTGAACAATTGACAACATGCTTAACGAGATAATAAACACTCAATTTTCTATCCTTGTGAACGCAGGAAGCAAAAAAACCACTGAACTTCTGATCGCACAACAAAATATGATCAATAAAATCGCCAAAATTTGATAGCCGCATTTGTCGTGAACTCACTGCTTCAATGACAACCTTATAATTTCCTTCCAAAACAATCTTTTGAAACTTTGCTTCCACTGCCAGAGTAATTGCAGTTGATGCCGCCATAGCCTTAATACTATCCTCACCGAGAATTCCTTCAATCTTCTTACAAACTCTCAACAGAAACTTGCCTTCATCATCCCAAACTACAATGCCAATACCAGAACAACCTTCATTACAAAAAACACCCCCATTGACGAGTACATAATATTGTATGATTTTATCTCAAACTATTCAGCTTAACTTTATTTATTAGTTATATATTTTGGTTTAGATTAGTTTTGTGTTTTATAGGGAATTTTGGGTGTTTGCAAGAAAATCAATGCAAAGATGACGTTTTACATTTATTTTGATATTTTGGAGAATTTTTTAAGTAAGATGGGCGAGTCAGGGATGGAGTTGGAAGCCGTAGAGCAACAATTCAAGAAAAGATAGCTTGTAAAGTTATGTGCTATTGGTAGAAAGGCTTTATGGAATAAGCAGAATGATGTTCTAGGTGGACTTGTGTTATACTGGAAGCAGAAACCAATGGAATTTGATAGAATAAGGTTCTACTAGTAGGTGATCTATTTTCTGTCGGTAGGTCATCCAACATGACGGTTCTACTGGTTGGTATTCAATGTTCTGCCGGTAGGTTGACATCAGATTTTGGGGAGGACTCTTTTGCCAAAACGTTGACTAACTAAATATTCAAAGATATCTTCCAAGACTTTATTTGAACAAAAAAGAAACAAATTAGGAAATGAATTTTTGGATAAATCTTAGAGATATTGTAGGAGATATTTTCGAAGCTTTTTTAGGAATAAGAAATAGACATATTAAGAATGAGAATCTCTAGGATATCAGCTATATATATATATATATATATATATATCTCCTTGTTTTTCCTATAAATACCAACCCTTTGGGATTTCTTAGAGAGATCTTCTTCCTTCTTAGACGTTCTCCAAGAGGGAGTTGCTCCTCCTCCTTCTTCTTCGTTTATTTTGTTTTAATTTGCAAGAACGAGGTCCTTCATTAGTTACGGTATATTATTTCTTTTCTTGTTATTGCTTTCAATTCCTTGTTTTAAATACAAAGTTCTTCATTAAAGTTTATTTTAATAAAAGTTTTATTTTTTATTTATTTATTTACATGTCTCCTTTAACTGTTTTCAATTTCTTTCGTCATGTTTGAATAGTTTCTTTTCTAGATAATTGTAGGGGGAATTCCAAACCCATGAACTAGGGTTTTACAATGTATGTGATTTAATGGTTGAATAAGTGTTTTTGAAAACTTGTTTGATTGGTCATATCCTCTATTAGTAGTAAACATACGAATAATAAGTGGAGTCCCTATAATCAATTGGATACTAAATATTTTTGTCAATTCATTCATCATCAAAATCACTATTTTTTACTAATTAATGTTTTTAGTTGAATATCATCCGTTCGGAGGAGTTTGATTACGAACTTAGATGAGTTATAGATTTAAAGTGTAAATTTATGTTCATAGGTGGGATGAAATCCAAAGAGTATCTAGTTCTTTCTTTTATTAAATTTATCTTTAATTTAGCTTAGTTAATTACTACAATTCTCAACTTTTAAAAAACTCTTTATTTATTTAATTTTTTTTTTTACTTTTGTCACTATTCGAATTTGTCCTTCGTTTTCCCTGAAGAGATGATCTTGATAATCAACTGAGTTACTAAACGATATATTCTTATGCATGGAAACTACTTTATTATTTACCCACTTTTGAAGTCAAGCACCCATCAAAATTAAGCTTCACCTCTCCTGGTCTAGTGGGAAACTATCAACGAACTATTCGATCAATTGCAGATTGTTCTAGTCTAGCAACTATGGGCCTGAAACGCTGTCTTTCAACTACTGGTGGTAAGGCAATCTAACCTTATTTGACTCTTAGTCCGGTCGATACAGGAGATCCATAAGATCCACACACAAAAGGGACTTGGAGTGGATTCCTCTCTTCTTCCTTCCGTACTTCAATGTACTATACTTGACTTATTTTATACTACTAAACTATCATCACAAGCCGAACTAGCAACTTATAGATGGGGTACACGCCTGGTATAATCAAAGGCACTATATCTGGAAATCCTATTTCGGTGAACCTAGATTGAATAGGGCATTGTGGGATATTCGGATTCCCAACCTGCCAGTGAACCACCAGAAAAGTCATTAAGTCCCGAAACCCGCCATTACTCAACTCTCCTTCTGGGAAATACCCTTCATTTCATTTGACCGGGAAGCCGGCCTCTTGCAATAGTTGGTCCAGTCTCCGGCTCCAGCTTATGCGCTACCTAGGTGATCCCCTCTTCCAAAACAAGTTCCGCCCTTGTCCTGTAGGGGTTGACATTTTTTTGAAAGCAAAAGAGGTATTTCATGGTTTTTAGTGTATAGAATCAAAGAACCTTTCTCGACTTGGAGATGACCTTCTATAACAAAAATAGCTACTTTAGAAGAAAGCCCCTTTTCATCTTTCGACTTGGCTGAAAGAGCAATTAAAGGTAGGTTGCTGCCTTCTTATGGCTTGCGCTAAGGAGAGCGCTCCACTTCCGGTGATCCCTTTCTTTGCAAGTTTGAATTCATTGGGAGCTAAGGGCCTTTTCCCTTAATTATTAGTGGAGGCTGAAGCTCATAGAAGCCCCGCAAGTGCGATGGCTTATTCATTCTATAGGGGGGTTTCATCATTCTTTGATTCCTTTCTTTAAATAGTTCCTCCTTTACTCTAGTACTGTACTTATGGCGCAATCAGTTAAGCGATATCTGTCAACAATAGTTCTCTTCCCTGTTCTCAGTCTAGTACTTCTTTTCTAGGAACTGTCTGAAAGTGGAAGCATAGGAGCTAGCAGAGTGCAGTTCAAGCGCGAACAAAGCAACTTCTCCCTTGGGGAGTGTCCGGGGCGCAGTAGATGACTTCCTGATTTTGGTCCCCTGTGCTGTCTACTGAATCTAAATCTAACAGTAGGAGCAGTGACGTGTGCTTAAAGACAATTAGGAAGTCTAAGAGAGTGTAATGGGCGCGGGAGACTCTTTTATCTGTGAGTTCCGCTGTTCTGTCTCGTTCTTGTTCTCCTCCGAAAACAGGTTCATTAGCATTCTCCTAATCAAATTACTGGTGATAAAACATTCATCCTTAGCCTATAGAGGTTCGTTCGGGATTGCTATCTTTGATTCAACCGCTCTTTTTAGACAACGGATTTCGCTGGGCGAATAGAGTCCCGATGGCCTCGCAGAGAAATAGCAGCCGATCTTATGAAACAAGCCCTTCTCTTATGAAATCGAAGTTGTGGACTCAGAGCTAAGACTAGAAAAGGAGTGACTCCAGTTAGGCCTAGCCCAAGAAAACAAAACACAAAAAGCACTCCTTCCGCAGATGTAGTAGGGTGACCCGACTCCTTCTTTGACACTTTTCCACGTGGATGCGACGACTATTCCCACTTTTCGACGAATCGTTCCAGAGGGGCGCAACCAGAAGGAAAACTTCTTCTCCTCTTTGGTTTGGACTGAACCCCTCCCTGCGACTGCCTCCGAATGCCGCTTTCGGTTGACCGATTGGACGAATCTTCCTACTTTGGTACGGGTGAAGGTCACCAAATCAACAACATCGGCAGCTGGAGGCGGAGACAACTACTCTTTAAAGGCAGTGTTCTGCATCAACAAAAACAGGCACATGGGCAGAGACTAAACCTCTTTCCTTTGGCTCGAATCCTAGCTTTCCCCCTTTCGACTAAAAAACCTTTGGCCTGACTCACGCATTGGAACTTTTAGACGTCGATGCTCGGACTCCCGCCTTTGGAGCATCAGTTCGAGACTTTGGTTCGTTCCTATCAGGATCGAGCAAGCCCTTCTATAACAAACTCTTCTTAGAAAAGAGGTTGGTGACAAAGAGAGGTTCTGACTGGTCACAGAGCAAGCCCTTATGGTGCAACACCTATTATTACGAAATAGGCTGTTCAAGAAGATAGGTTCTTTGACGGATCAACAATCAAGCAGCTGACCTAGTTTCATTGGTTTCGGGATGCCTCTCGTCTTGCTTGCGTCTGCTTTTCCTTCTTCTGGATTAGCACATTCATCAGCTTTTCAATCATAGAATTAGCGCCTGTGGTAAACGAACTCTCTCTTGCTTTCGGGCCTAACTCGCACTGCTTTCAAGAGCTAGCTTTCACACTCCTTCTCTTATAAGATCCATAGCTTGAACAAGACAGCTGCACTGGGATACTCAGAAAGAAGTAAAGCGCATCCACAACTGCCGCAGAAAGAACAGGAGCATCTATACTATCTTCCGCAACTTCCGAAAGAGCCACATCAAGACCAAGAGCTGGTACCGCAGGACAGGCAGGAATGGGATATATATTTGAAACAACAATAGCAAGGAGATTCGCCAACAGGAAAGGACCAATTCTTCCAGATGAAAGAAGAGCCGATGGAAGAAGAGAGCTAAGAAGGGGGCGGGGGAGCCTGGTGAGCTTGCTTCGAACTAGACCTATCCACCACGGGCTTCGTCGAAGGAAGGAAAATGCCCGCAAAGAGAGGGCTAGAAGCTGGGAGTTGGGGGATTCCATTTCGATCCAAACCCGCCTTAGTCTCAAATAGGCTTTCTTTGAAGGCGTAGGTTGGCCTGGGTTCTTGATCTGTATCCAGGTTTTCACTTATACTAGTTCATCGACAGTGGCTTGCCCTCCATCTTCCAGCTCTGGGGGAGCGCCTTTGAGCTCGGCAACCTCTTTTGGGGCTTGGTCTGCTGTGTCCACTTTCCCAAAGATTCGTGTTAAGACGTCTTCTGGTTCCGACTCCTTTTATGATGAATCATTTTCTGATGAAACCCTATTGTTTAGGGCTTTTGGGAAGACTATTCCAAGGTTTCTCTTTCCTTTAGAGGACAAAAATTTCTATCCTCTGGTGAACCTCATCCTCCAGTTACCTATTCTACAAATAGAAGATCCATTTCGATGATGAGAATGAGAGAGAAGACAGAGATCCTACTTCTTCACAAGCCTTCTCTAGCACACCCACTCAAAGAAAAATGACTTCTGTGGAAGACTTAGTGAATAACTATTGAATATTCAATTGTATTGTTAAGTAAGAGCAGCTTACCTCTAGCTTATTCGAGTGTGTAAAATCGGGTACTTCCACTCGTGCGAAATGTCCTGAAGAAAAGCGAAAACCAGGAGTAATGAATTGACTACATGGTCAAAAAATAAGAATAGCAACTCTTCACCAGTTCCGAGATCAAAAAGTCAAGTAAGAGAGATGGCACCGTTCGAGGAAATTACAGTAAATGGAGAGTCTGTGGCTAATCCAGTTCACTCACCTTCAGATGTTTCACCTTCGGTATTGCACAAGCAGCTGAACTGGACTAACTCTTATCCATATCTGTACTAACCTTGGTAATCTGCCAAAGTACCTGAAGGATCTACAGAATAGCCTCAATGCCATTCAATCGAGTTTGGACAATTTCATTTAAACGGACTGAGCATATTGAAAGACATCAAGGAGCTGGTGATGTTTCTGATGCAAGCGAAGATAGTCAAAATGAGGAATCCTCTGACCCTGCATCAGCAAAATCTTGCACCTCCTGCGTTCCCAACGCTAGGAAGTATACCCGGAACCTCATCTCCTACCTTATGGAAAAGACCACCCTTTTGAAGCAATAGAGGTTTTGTTTTGGAGGAAGATATAGCGAACACTTTGTTGGAAGATCCTTCGGCACCTCTGGAGGTTTCCAAAGTAGCAGTCCCTACCCGAGTCAAGCTTCATCTTTGCCACCTTGGAAGAAGACCTTCTAACACGATGACCCCAGCTTCATGGTTGTAGCTGGTAGACCCGTATACCCCGGACGAAGTTCTAAATCTTCCCGGAAGGGAAGGGAAAAGGCATAGCAGGCATGCGGCTAAACTCTCCACGAGAGTTGGCTACACCTACATCGTCGGAAGATGAAGAAATTCCACAACCGGGGCGCATCAACGTTCTTGGTGGAAAACCACGTCCTATTGAGCTCCAATAGACTGATTTTTTTCGGGATTCAATAGTAACTCAATCTACCCATGGAGAATCGACGGCCTCAATGGCGAGGAAGTCGAAGTCGTTTTGGCAAATATGTTAGCAGCCGCTAACACCTATGTTTAAGCTGGACGTCATCCTGTAGCAGCAGCCAATCTACTGTTAGGCTTCACCGGAAATCTCCTAGCATGGTGGGAAAGATTACCAGATGCGGTCAATTCCTCAATACAATATTCTCACGTCGGAGAATTTGATTACATACTTTTGAATTCTTTTGGACAGCCGATACCTAATCCGGTAGAAAGTCTTCTTGCCACTATTCGCCTTCACTTCGGTGGTCTCTCAGATGATACAATCAGTAAACACACTGAGATTCTTCCCAATCTGAGGATCAGGCGAGTCTAAGATTTCCCTTGGTATAAGAAGACCCTCTTTGCTAGAATCTACAAGATTCCAGACCCATTCTTGTCTGGAAGGATCAATTTATTGCTGGTCTTCCAAAACAAAAGGATTCTCGCAGTTAGTGAGAGAAAATCTTAGCGGTTCTCTCGAGAGCCTCCCCTATGGTTGTCTTTTCTCTGCTGTAGAGAAGACCATTGCGGAACTCTATTCTCGAAATCTAATTCTTTAGATAAAGAAAGGGGAACTTAGTTTCAGAAAAGGTGGTATATGCGATCAATTTAGAATAAGACCTATTGTGACCACCAAAACCAGAAAGAAAGAAAATAAAAAAAGAAAAAGAAGGAAGTACCCTTCTAAGAGGACATCTAGAAAGCAATGGAGGAAAGATAGACCAAGTCCGTTAAAAAAACTCCTATCTTTTCTCAAACAAAGTCAAAGCCCCAAGCTTAGTATACAGAAGAAGAAGTCATCATCACCCGGAACAATAGAAGAAGGATTTTACCCAAACCAACAACGGAAAGTAGTTTCTCTCTGAACCTCCACTGCCCGATTAGTTTGGATAGGACGTACGAGTGGCAAGCTACCCGCTTTACGCTAAAAGTCTTAGCTTTAAACAATAAATAATGCTGCAAATCTTTTCTTGTTTGAGGTAAAGGAAGCACTCTTTCAAATTGATCCCTTAAGAGATTTTTTTTTCTTTTTGATCCCTTTCGTCTAGTGGTTAAGACATCGTCTTTTCATGTCGAAGACACGGGTTCGATTCCCGTAAGGGATAGGTACTCATTCGATGAATTGAATTACGCTTTTAGTGTTCATTATGAAGCCAGCATTTTCTGATAGTGATTTGAATGCCTATCCCCTGCCTATGCGCTTGCCTTTACTACCTGCCTGCCGTGAACTTGAAGTTGATCTCCTATCTATATTCGACAGCTTGAAGAGGGCTGATGGCTGATTGCTAAAGAGCAATTGTCATTGAAAGCGATTCCTTCGCTCAAGAACTAGACTCAAGCGATTGTGCCTACCAGTCAAGACAGGAAGGTGGGACGCTAGCTAGCCTCTTGACCGAAGCGCCAACCTCCCTCTAACTCCCCCCTTCTCTAATGCGCATATTGAGACTGAACTTGCATCTGATCTAAGCCTATTTCTAGCGCACCTCCCTATCGCCTGCCTCCAACTGCCTTTCTATTGCGCCTGCCGTTAACTCCTGTTTACCTTCCTTTCGGAGAGTGCCTTACTCAGAAGTAATATACTGATTAGATTAAAGGGAGGAGATATCTTTCATAAAAGTCAATTGCAATTATTTATTGAATTCAAAGAAGATTGCGCCAATGAAAGAGATAGAAGAGCGGTATGACAGAGCTCAACAAAGGAAGGAGCTTGCAGAACTAAGCAAGGGAGCCATACTCTACTCTACGGGAGAAGGGCAAAACAGAGGAACAGGCCAACGTAGCTTACTAATAAGGGCTCGCTCCCGTTTGACCAGGGGGGTGAATGGGGTCCGTTAGCGGATTGCTACCATGCTTTAACATAAGGAAAGGACATAGGAGCAATTCCATTTGAAAGATGAATCTCTACCTTTTGAATAAGGTGCCTAGCCTTATTGGTTTTAATAGCCGCGGATTCCTCCTTCTAAGAGTGAAAGTGCTAAGACCGCTAATGCCGCATCCACAGGATAAGCATTCATTTACCTTTACCTTTACCTTTACCTTGAAATACCTTTCAAAGAGCGTTTATCCCGCAGCATCTTAAGTATGCTACAAAGAAGCATTCAAGGGCTATGCGCAATCAAGACATTCAATAGCAAGCGCCATCACTTGAATCCTGAGCATGGAAAAAGAGCAAGCCAAGACTTTCACAAGAAAGCTGGCACCTTGAAGTGTGGGTAAAACCTCCCTTTGGTACGAAGGTAAGCCTACAAAAAAAGCAAGGGGCTAAGCGTCACTCCTCCCTTGCCGCTACTACCAGCTCGAGGCCTATTGTCCACGAAGGCTGATCTCTTAACTGGCTTTGGAAAGGCATACCTTGACTATTCGAAGACAATGGATTGGTTCTCTTACAGTTCAATTCCAGGTGAAAAAGAAAGGCAATTACTCCTTCAAATATTCATTGCCTCTAGTTCCGACTTAAGAGTTAGACTAGGCGATATATTCTTTCTTGCGCAAAGCCTCTCTCCTGATCTTGATAGCACGGGAAAGATACTTTTTGCGATGAGGCCATGCAAGGAAGGCTCTTTAATTAGCATTACTGCCTCTTTGCTTTGCACTCGCTACCTTGTGGCCATACCCAGAAAAGGGCCTTTGCCCAGTTATTTATTCTTATTCAATTAATAAGATAAAAGTAAAATCACTTTCACAAAGCGAAGGAACATTGCTTACAACTCAAAAGGACGGGATGTTAATATGTATGTTAGGCTAAGGCACCTCTCATCACAGCACGTCGAAAGCATGCCATCAAATTCATTATTGAAAGCCTTAGAGCAGTAGCACGCACAGGGATAGTCTTCCTTCTGATCCCAAGGAATGCGCGTCTGGTGGTATCATCGTATATAAGATCACGGCTGCATTGGATGAACTCCAGCTCTCGGCATCAAGACCGACAAAGAGCCTATTGGACCTAGCAAGGAAAGAAAGTCGCAGAAGGGGCGTAGCGGGCAACTAGGGGTTCTCGAGACTATTCCTAGTGTCAGTTTATTAAGAAAGTAAGTGTTCAGTTATCGTCTTCATGGAAATAGTAGTATATGCCGCAAATGGTCTGCTAAAGCTAATCTCCTCTGCTCATCGAAATCGAAGAGGGACATTCAAACAAATAGTGAATCTATCCCACTAGCTCAAGTCCCACTGCTCTTATTCCGCTAATGCCAGGAGAGCTTCTAAAAGGATATCCCTCTGGAATTGCAATTGGAGAAAGGGGGCATTCTCCCCGTAGATGCTGAGAATCTTGCAAAGAGCCTAGTTGTACTACCAGCAGCCTAATTCCCATCTCCGTTCTATCAAACAAAGGCATGAAGTGAAGGAGGTTACTGCGGATATTCCGCCAACAAGCCCAAGGTGAGACAGCCCTGCTAACTCGTACTCTTCTTTTAAAGCCCTAGGATCGGATTCAATAGTAGCTGAGTCAATAGCTGGGGATTCCTTCTCCCTCAAAGCCTATTCTGATTGACTTTTGTCCTCGGGATTCTTTTTGGCATAAAGCCTACCACCCTCACATGCAGGGGATTCGATAACCCGGTATTCTTCCTCCTCATGGACAAAATCGGATGCTTAAGCCAATAAGGTTGCACCTCTGTCTACCCTCTTATTTGACTATGCATATGGATCTGGGGTAGTGCTAACTAATCCTTCTTGTTCTAACTCTTCTCTTTCTCTCTGCTTTGACTATGGGGATACCATGCCCATTACGGGTGTCAAAGAGCGGATGCTGTCCATCTTCGGAGGAAGGATTTGCTGCTAAGACCGGATATGCCGAATCTGAGCTGAGAGATGCTAGGTCTCGTCTAAGCCCTTCTGCGGATTCTCAAGCAACAGCAAAGAGAACAGGGGATTGCCCACTAAGAGCCCATCATTCATTTACCCGAGCGAGATTGGACAGTTGCTCTCGAATCGGATTCTGTTGAAATAGGCAAAATGGCCCTTCCCCTCTTCGAATCTGAGATGATAGTTACCTTAGGGTTAAATATCCTTGCATTCTTCCTTCAAACCTTCCACCAGCAGTTGATTCTCAAGCAGCCGATTCCTCCTGCTCTTCCGGGGCATCTATATAATATATGTCACTTCCCTCTGTCCATCAATCCTCTTCTCTGCCCTTTTTTATACTATGCGTGGCATGCCTCCTGTTCGTATCTTAACTGGGCAACCTTCTCTTGCAAACAATCCCTCCGTCGCTAACACCGGTAATGCCCCATCCCTTTAGTACTACCTTCGAGGAATTCCTCTCGCGTCCCTGTATTGATAAGAGCGCATTCTCTAACAGCTTTGAGGCCGAGGCAGCCATCCTCTTGCCAATCCTAAACAAAAGAAAAGCCCTACCCACCTTCATTGGAAGAGTAAGGGGCATTTACCGAATTTGATTGTTGCCTAGTCCTAAGGCGCAATCGGAGCACTAAGCCCTTATACTGCTTTACTCCGTTAATTAGACCTCCTTCCCCTACTCCTTCCTTTCCCCATGTGGAATCAGTCCCTGCTTTGGTTTGGCTCTTTCTGTAACAACCTACCGGGCAAGATAAGGAGGAACGAACGTCAGAAGTCCCACAGCATATTCTGGTCCATCTGCAGCCTATGTCCATCAATCCTCCTCTCTTCCAATTACTTCCTTGTAGTAGGGCATAGCTTAAGTTCCTTATTACTCAATAGGTGATTCAAAGCAACAATCCTTAGAAAAAGCCTAACTGAAGGAGAGACTTGAGAGGCCTCTCTTCCCATATATCTGACTGGCAAAGGGAATAGAGCAACCATCTAATCCATTCCTTTCTTTCCTTTCTCATTGAAGCTGTTAGAAGCCCAGAAAAGGTGGGTCTGTAGGTAGTGATGTTCCTGCTCCTTATCTTCCCGCCTATTGAGGCCCAGGAGGAATGGACCACCCATGAATCCTGCTTCCTTATCTTCTTATTCCCCCATTCCGTGGATTGGTTCCAACATCAAGACCGGTGGAGGAGAACTCAAGTCAATGCGCTTACCAACTCCTTATCGACCTTAGAATCTCTTATCTGGACAGGATAAGAGCAAATGAACCTCCCCTCCCTATTGTCTATTCCTACTCCTGGCTCACCGCCGGTGGGCATTAACTAGACCTGTTCTCATGGCTATCTATTGGTGCTCTCGGCATAGGAAGTATCGCCGGTTGATCCAGCATTCTCTAGCTTCCATTTCAGTTCCATAGCCATAGCCTTGTGTAGTTCCAGCTGATCCAGTCGATTCATAAGTTTCAAGTCCTCGGTCGATACCCACCAAGCCAGCAGCATACCTTTCAGACCAAAAGTGACCCCTACTAGATGCGGCAAACAACGGCTTCAAGCATAAAAACGTCATAAAGACTGATTTCCTAACACCCACAGGGTACGACGCATCAGAACGATGGTAACATAAGTTCGAGTAACAACTAATAAAACATTCCGATGTCGGCCAAGAACACACGACCGCACACAGAAGCTTAGGTCCCTTCCGATGGGATGATAAACACTGACAAAGAAAGGTGCTTCACACGAACGGGCACGGCTGAAGGATTCAAAAAGGCAACGTCGAAACGCCTATTTCTCTATGCTGGACCCAACTCTTTATGCGGGGCCCCTTCCTTAGTTAGCTGGGCCCGTAGCCGTGGACACATTAGGGGACCTCACCA